TTTCCGCGATCATGTAAGAAGAAGATGTCGGCGATGATCTCGGGCATGATAGTCTCGGCTGGTCCAGCACCAATGCCATTGAGGATGCACGCGCCCATGAACGAGTTGTAGGAGCTGGCCTTGGCGCGCCATATCGAGGTACCGAAGTTGATGAGTTGGGATGCGAGATAAACCGGGCGACGACCGAACGATGTGCTAATTGGAACCCTAGCATTACCCATTAGTCTTCGGCGTCTGCATCATGATCTGATGGTACTCACCAGATGAAGTTGCTAAATCCCAGCACCAAGATACAAACACCAGTGAATTGGACAGCTCCAGCCAGATCGGTGTTGAAAGCTTCTATCAGTGCCGGAAACATCGGTGCCAGAGCCAGTGGGCCAAATCCTTGCGTGAATGTGGCCATAGATGCCGAGATGATGCACGCCATCTTCCAACCAGTGCTCCAATTGAGCGGATCGTTAGGGTCATCGCTAGGTTGTGGAACAAGAACTTGGCGGTGTGCTCCCTTGACGAAGTGATGTGAGCCTACATCTGCCATGACCTCCGTACCAGGCAGAATCTCTGTGTGGAGCTCGGCTTCGAGCTGCCGGCGTTCCTGCATGTCTTAGTACTGGGTACTATCAGTCATGTTGTGAACTTACATCTTCATTATAGTCGTGCCCGTTCATCTTGTCCAAACGGCGGATGTGTGAGAAGCGATGATTGTGCTCAGACCAAGGGTGCAGCGAAGTACTTGTATCGCTTGTTGTATACGATGTCGCGCAGTTCGCGGGCCTATTCTGACTCAATCTAGTAGGTCGGTGCTATTGCGATTCGGCTTCGAAAACCATTCGGAGTAGAAGTCAAACGTGGCTTGCCATAGAGCGTCAAGACGTCGGTAGAATAGCGCCGTGAGCAGCTATCGTGAATCGGCAATTGTAGTCGGAGCAGAATCAAGACAAAAGGTTACTAAGATGTGTAGACAACGGCCGGCCGATCCTCCGCTGAGCGTCTGGGTACTTATCGCCCAGCCTGATTTCCAACAGCCAGGTTCTCCGCATCTTCCACACGTGAAGGACCTGCGTGCCGTCTCATCGTTCATAGCACATCATCTACGGCACATATTAGCGCGCGTCGTCCAGTCATGAGCCTTGAATGCGTATTAGCCTCTGTTTAACCCCGGTATGTCGACACATACCCATGTTCGCAGCGTTGTAATCTCGACCCAGGTTCCGGGATCGAGCGGCAGCGGATGAAGTGGGCGGCAAATGTCTTTGCAATACGCTCAGCCACGCTGTGCAAGTTCAGGCGAGGGTCAAGCTTACCGCACGGGAATTTGATCGAAAGAGTGATGGTTTGGTGATCGTGAGTGAGGTTTGACGACTTGTGTAACTGCCGAGCCACGCTATTTCGCGCTACGTCACTAGTGCGATGCGGGGAAATAAGGGGAAGCCGCCACGAAAAGACTAGAACGCCGAGCTTACGACACCAGCATCGACGGTCCAACATCACGACAGGGAGCTCCTGCTGTTCTACTGATAATATCTTCGTTGTGTCTAGCCTATCGCGCAACCTCACTACGCCTCAGGCTTCAGCGACGCGGGTCGTAAAGAGCATGTTTGTCTCTAGGTATCCCAGTCCTTCTACCGCCTATCCCTCTAAGTATTCTGTGCCTCAATCTTCGCATACGAACCGATCGTGTACTTTGGGGTCGTAATTCATGCGACCTGTAGGCCATGGGAACTCGAAGTTAGCTATCTCGCCGTAGGCAGGCGGACCGAATTCCTTCCACCAGTGGCACGGGCGCTTGCAGAAGCACACAGGAGGACTGTAAGAGATGGTCAGAACACACACCGGCAACAACAGTCTCAAGCTGGAGGGAAACAGGACTTACAAAGGTCGCCGCAAGTAATCTGACATGATTGTCAGCCTTTCAGCGGAAAGGTTGTGAAGCGTACCATTGCGCTCATCATGCAGTATTGCCTCCCACTTAGTACGTGTGCTGAGTTTCACATGTCCGGACATAGTTACGGATGGTATCTGTCGAAGGTCCTCCAGCGCCAGTGTGAAGAACCAATCCAGTAGTGTCTTCTCACAGGAGATCAGGTCAGTAGGATGGCTCGGCAACGACCGAGCCCAAGGGTCGTGGGAGAAGAATGGATCCTCGATACCTACCCTCTCTATCCATCGGGGGAGAGAAACCTGGAAATGCAAATGGAGGCGAGCTAGCGTCGGGATCTTCCCAAAGACTCGAATCAAAGCTTGACCTGGCCATTCCACTTGGCGTTGGTCATCATAGCCCAGAAACCTGAAGTAAATGGAGTTGGGAAAACCGAGAGAGATGTGACGGAGCCATTTGCCTTGTAAACTAGGCAACACCTCTATGAGCGTCCAGGGATCCCGAAAATGCGGCACAGTCGATGTCACGGTAAACTTGCGGAACTCGGCTCTTACCTGCTTACAAATGTACTGTATGTTGGTGTTGATCGACGCCCAAGGTCGTTCATTTCCGATGGGATCGAGAGAGTACTGAGAAGTCCGTGCAAATGCCATGCAGCGATTAGTGTACGCTGTATACGTTGCCTGGCCGAAGATTCTCAACGGACTTCGCAACGGGTGTTCCTGATATCCTAGCTTTTTGTGAGGCCATATGTAAAGCCCAAGAAGCTGTCTGTATATCATCGAGCGAAGTTCGAAAGGCAAGTCCAACAGCCTAAAAGCGCGGCCATTCGCCTGCCACCAGCACTGTTGGCTGTTGTCAACAGCACGTGGAGGTAGTGTCGCGAGCTTTGCCGTGAGCCAGTTTCCGAATGAAACCCATTGATATGAGAGCCCAATCTCTACGTCGCTCAATAAGGTTGTTACTGGACCGCATGTAAGAACCAATGAGGGTCGTCGGCGTATCTGTAATGCATTTGTCTTGCCAAGTTCCCCAGATGTATGGAGCGCGAAGAAGGTTCCGTCTTGAAGCGACTCCAAGGACATGTCGGCGATCGAGGTCTTCCTCCATACATCGAAGTCGATCTTGCGCAACTCGAGGAGACGGTCCTGTAACATACGGTAGTCAACGAGCTGAGAGTCGTGTCAGCCTGGCATTCGAGTAACGTTCACGTCGCACGTACAAGCCCGGTCTCGTTGCTAAAGCCCTTACATTTGCACCGAACCTCAACCCAATCACGTAGAGGACGCCAGTTACGGCGCCCGCGGACCTGGACACATGCTAGAGGAGATATGTCTGCTATGTCTGACTTGTTCGACAACGATAGATCATAGCGTATCTTGACGCGAGGGGTTCCTGGGCTTGTACCAACGAAGCTATAGTAGCCGGAAGAAACTTGTTGGATCTTTCGCGGAGACACCTTGAGCCCGACCGTTTTCGCGTGGAATGTGGCGCATCCGCGGCGCTTCTCGGCAATGTACTCGTTGATCGTGGCCGAGATCGAGTCCTTGGATTGTCAGTATTGCCATACAATAACCTCGTATGAGACCAACTTACTGCTTCTTCGACCGCATTAGAAGCTTCCTGACGACTTGAGTGTTGTGACATATTACGGCTTGGTCTAGTGGTTGAGTACAAAGCGACTGGTCATAGTTCGGGAAGGAGTGTGATGGACAGAGGTTTTATATACGCAGGCGCAAAGAATTGAGGAGTGTATGGCCCCTAGGCAGCAATCTGTGGGGAGGATTACGGTCTCTCTCATACTAAGTCAGTGCGTCAAAGCTTGCTCGAGACTCAACAAGGGTGAATTCAGGGTAGAAGCCGGTAACTCGTGCAGCGATGAGATTGGGAGGAAAGTACGGTAGAAAGCGGCGCGGTAAGTCTTCTCGTGAGTTTCATAGAGCGCATTGCAAGATCACGATCCAACGGCTGCGAGTACGACAGATGGGCTGGACGCCTACATCGCATTTGTATTGTCTGAATGCGTTCATTCAAAGCCATTGTAAGCAACATAGTGAACAATGATCTACTTGTATCGAGACGAGACTTGATCCCAAACCCCTGTATTTCTCGTACATTCATCGCCTCTTAGAACCAGGGGGACTCGGCTCGTGAACTATCTGCGTAGTCTGCGGTCTCGACTAGTACTTCTTCTGCATTACCGGTCGCACGGGCAGAGATATTCCTGCCTTTGACCCACGAAGCAAATTCGGGGTCGACTCCATGAAGCTGCTTCATGTAGCAGGTATCCAGCTCGTTGGTAAGACAGTATTTGTTTTGACAAACATGGCCAAAAATGCAATCAAGCCGACGGCAATCGCTGCCCTTCTTACAAGCGGTCTTTCTGACGTTGTATCGGAGCACGTTAAGTACCGAAGGGCTAATTTTGAAATGATTGTATGGACAAGTAGCACCTTGTTCGCATGCGTTCGCGAGATAGAACGATCGACAGGGTTTGACACCGCGCCCAAATTTTTCTGCGTATGCTTGTCTATCGGCAGGAGATGGTCGCGCAGTGAAGTAATCCAGACGTTGTCCATCCTGTGGAAGTAGAGGTATGCAGTGAGTGTATGTCCCATATACACCTCGTAAAGCCATGACTTACCTTGTTCACGGGTACGTAGCCATCAACGGCGTCGCGAAACTGCGGAAGGAAACCTGATCGTCGAAGAGTATCGGTGACGCGGTTTGATGCGACTCGTCGGGACATGTCGTCAGGCGTAGTATCAGCGTGTGAGAAGCCGCATGAACCACTCGCACAAGAATCCTTATCAGTGATCATACTAGCGATGGCGGGCATTCCAACCGAGCGTAGGAGCGACAACAACGGGTCTTGCTCTGCTGGACCGTGAAAGACATCCGGAATGCTGATCGAATCGCAGGGTAGAGGGACAAGCTTGGCACCTGCGCCCATGCCGCGTCCTTGGACTAATGTAACGTTCTTGGAAGGGGTCTGCAGCATTGCGAGGTAGAGCGATCGTCGCCACGCAGCGAGAAAAACGTGTTTGCAGTTCGGATCTCTGCGCGCCGTATCGAAAGCATCTATCACACTCAATATCAGATACTGTCAATTTTGTTTCTAATAAGAGGATTTACCAGTGACTTTGCGTCCAACGATCTCTTCATCTCGAACACTGGTGAAATCGAAGTAAGGGTCGATGGAAGAGAACTCGACCATGAACTGTTGTACAGGACAGAACGGATCATTCGCCAGCTTGGTAGAATCGGCGTAGACGCGCACGATGATTCTAGACGTAGCAAGTGCCGCAGCTGGAGAGACCGTGATCAAATGTTTCATGATCGCCGCATGAAGACGACTCTTGATGTTCAAAGCCTGATCGTGGTCCAAAGCTGGGAAGCCTTGATTTACGGGCGACCTGCATGATATGTCGCTGTTGAACTGAAGATATATTTAGTGAATGCGACTGCAATCTTAGATAGTGAGGCTTTACCGGATGGCTATGCGCATCAGTCAGCACCAGTACGTGAGCATCACTGCGTGAGTGGAACTTGATGACGTTCTGCTCCAACTCCATCGCAGCCTCTTGGAGCGACGTCGATACGCTGTCAGCGAGGCTACGCAGTCGCGCCGCCAGCTCAGCGACCTTTTCGGGGCTCGCCATGTTGTTGAGAAGATGACAGAGAAGGCATCAGCTCTGGAAAGTATCTGTATGGCGTCCTTTAGACCCCTGTCAAAGCGCGTCGCTCCTCCTTCAGCAGTTACCTTGCCAAGGCGGTGAAGGTGCGACGGCCAACCGACCAGGAAGTCACCATGGACCAGGCAGCTCGGCTAAGTGATTTGGATTGCACATGGAGCTCCAGTCATTCGGGATGACATTGAAGGGAGGATGGGATAGCGCTGAAAACACCAGAATGTGTTGCAAAAGAGGTACCTCAACGGCGAAATGCACGTGCGGAAGCAAGTGGATCCGGTGCCTTCTCCAGGACTGGAATCAGTGTGTTAGCTACTTTTTCGAGTGTCTTACTCTTGAAAGCACAATCTTCCATGTCTTCCATTGTCTTCCAAACTGGATAGCGCATTTCCTGGAGATGGATCTTGAACAACGATGAGACGCGAAATCAAGCATGTCTGCTTACGCGGAGCAAGCAAATGGGGAGCTACATTGCTGATTTGGATATCAATACATGCAAGATAACATCACGGGAATGTTGCTATTGGGAAGCCGTGGAGGACTGCTGCTCGATGGCCCGTACGTCGGTCAATGACGTCATCACCCTTTTCAATTCCCACGATCTCAGCCACCGGCTTCTTCATTTTAACATGCGCAACACCAACATCACAGCACGCTTCTCATTACACGGTGGGATCTTCCCGCATCGCACCGATATTCTCACATCAGTCTGCCCACGCGGGCTAAATCCTTGCGCCAGCTCCTCTAGGCCAGCGGAGCACGCTTTATGGCGAGGGCAGCCGCCTGTCACCAATAACGATTGCCAAATCGTTTGCGATCATCGTACGATTCAATCGTACGATTTTTCGGAAGCAAGGCAACTGCCCAGTGTCACTGCTAAGTAGCCCTTGAACGTCTCGCTACGCCGTTTGATGTTATCGGTATCGCCATCGGCTCTGCTGCGTTGCGAGAGGCACTGCTTCAACATAGACCCAGAACAGTCAAAGACTATAAGAAGGTCGCTAGAACCAACATCCCGTTCAAGATACTGCTTGGTCCAGCTTTTGCGAGATTACTGGTGGTAAGCGTGCGAGCCTCGTTTTCTTGTGGTCTAGTGCCTATGAATGCATCATCCAGGAAGAACGTCTCATTTCACCATCTGCAGCATTCGCACCCACTTTGGTTCCTTTCGGTCTAACGCAACCATTGCGAATCTCTGCATCGATAATACTCGTGCAGGGGCTGTCAGGCTCAGCCGCTTCCACCCGCAGGACGTCTCCTACGCTCAAGTGCGCGCCCAAGAATGTGGTTGAGTTGGCCATATTGAGTACCCCCACAGAACCGGAACCCCCGAGAACGAATGTTACGCGCATATTCGTGTCTGCAAGCTCCTGAATGCCCTGCGACTTGTCCAAAATACTGAGCCATTCGGCATGGAGATACAAGGTTGCTTGTGTGTGTACTAGCCGAGATTGGCACACTACCTAGGTAGGGCCACATAGGTCAGCATGCAGCCAACCCCCCGGGGCGCGCCCTTGAATGACTCCACATTTCGCGAACGCAGCCCGTTCCATGCGTCATGTTGGCGCGGATGTCACCACTTCCGTAGTCTACTCCTTCCTTTCTTGAATAGCACTGACTATCCCTACTGCGCAACATGGATACTTGGTCCTCAAATGTAGAAGACGATTCGACTGTCGGTACTGTGTCGCTTGGTATGGTGGTTATTGATGAGATCCACCTGCCAAAACGATCGCCTTTGATTGACGTAGCGGGGGGCTCCGGAGCTTACGGTATGTATCTTACACGTGTGGCGCTTTTAGAACGCTGATAGACTTACGATAAACAGCAACGCTTGGGAGCCGCCTGTTCAAGACCCCTGCGCGATCGAAGACGGTGGGCTGTCTGGCTCTTGTGGGCTACGACTTTCCCGATGCTGTGCGAGAGCAGCTACAGGCCTGGCGGACCACTCTGCACGAAAACGTCTCGCACGACAGGCTGAGCACCAGAGGGCTTCTTGAGTACGAAGATGATACATTTGGACGTATGTGACTGCCTTGTTCCAGTGATAGACTTCTGAAGCTTACGATCGCCTAGCGAAGAAGTTCCGCTATACTACGGAGCCGTTGAAGCCATCACCAATTGATCTGGTAAACACAAATCTACTTGGCTCGGAAGCATTTCATCTCCTTGCACCGCCCGAGGTTGTCGAAACACAGATTCCAGAACTGATAAAGCTTCGCATGCAACACGGGTTCAAAAGCCGGCCATTCATAGTGTGGGAACCATTCCCAGCCGCTTGCACCACCCAGAACCGACCTTCATTCCTGAAAGCCTGCAGACTTGTGGATGTGTTTTCGCCCAATCACTTAGAAATGTCTACCATATTCGAGGATTCACCCTGCGAAGGCTTTCAGCCTGGCCGACTGGAAACATATGCACTAGAGTTCAGCAAGGCAATCGGACCGAGCGGAAGCGGAATCGTTATTGTGAGAGCAGGTGAGCATGGCTCACTGACCACTCAACATGCAGCTAAGAGTGTATGGCTACCCCCATACTACGAACCATCGGCGGTCAAGGTTATCGACCCCACCGGTGGTGGCAACACGTATCTAGGCGGGTTTATTGCAGGCTGGAAAGCATCAGGAGATATTCATGAAGCTTCTATGTACGGTAACGTGGCTGCAAGTTTTGCTATCGAGCAGATCGGTTTGCCTTCTTGTGAAGTGAGCGATGGTGAAGAGATATGGAACGGTACTCGGGTAATGGAGCGTCTTGCTGAGTACAGAGCACGGCTCAGCTCCACAGGAAAGAAATGAGAAGAATATACCACACAGGTAGAAGACACCGTTGCAATGATCGACTCGACTGCGCGTTTGGGAGATGTCCATCTAGATGACAAAGGTTTTGATCCTCCTTCGCTCTCCTCAAGAAAGTCTCCTAGCCTTCATTCCGTTACGACTGAACAGATTTGGGCTGAGACGAAGTTCTTACCGCTACCACCGACTACATCGCGTCATATCCCGGCTTTAACACAACCACGCACAAGTGAGACTTCAGTCCGCGAACCCACGGCATCACGGAGAATGCTCCGCCGAACTCTACTCGCAACCTAGCGTACCAAACTGCATACTAACGCTACTGTCTAGATGCCGCTGTAGAACGGAGATGCCGCTGTAAAAACGAGATGCCGCTTTAGATTGAAGATGCCGCTGTAGAATGGAAACACAGACTTCACCAGCCCGTTCCCGAGAAGGGGATCCATGTAGCCGCGGACTCAGCCCTGCCACCTCGTATCGAGCGCCTGTATCGTGTCTAGGAGGGATTCAACAGCTCTTGGTGTGACGATTCATAGCTCACGGAGGAATCCCGTAGCCTCGTCATGATGCAAGGCATCCTTCCCTTTCGCCTGCGGTAGATTCGGATATCGCTCGTGATGCGGCTGACAAGACTTAGTAGATATGGGGCAATGAGGGAATACGAGGCTGTGGGCGTCCCGTCCTCGCTATCAGTAGCGCGAGGATAGGTAATCCCGAGCGAGCGATTTACCACCATCTTACAACGCAAGACTATCAGAAGCTTGAAGCTGCAGGATTCGCCATTTGAGGGGCTCATGGAGCAACGCCGCCACCCTTCATACTGGGGAATGCCGGGTTCCTGTACATCTGCTATTGCGTATCGTGCAGGAGGCTGAGGAGGCTCAGTAAGTCACGCGCCAGGGTTCCCAAAGGATGATAGTTGGATCGTCGAGCATGAGGGGTTGGTGAAGGCTTTGCAGCCGTATGCCTAGATCTCTCCCAAGAAATCCTGACAGGACTAATGCACGCACACATGCAGAAGTCTCAATCCCATGCGTCTCAGCCTTCCACTATAGGATCGCGATGATCAGCGCTCTATCGCGTTTGAAGATCCCATTGGGTACCGATTGGGTACCAGAAAACGCTACCCCACCGTTGGAACGTGCATCTCCAGGGCTTGTTTTGTAATCTGACAGAACGGGACGCTAAAATCGCCGATCACTCCGCAACTTCCCGCTCTTGCACGTTTGCCCTGCTGCTGCCACGACGACCAAACGTCAAGAATACGTTTTCACGATACCTTTTAGGATGTCCGGCACTCAGGTCTTGGGCTTGATTCCGCTTGTTATTGGTACGAACTAAAACGACGACATGGCGGCGCGCATTCCGGTTCGATACGGAGTCGAATACCGAATAGATAGAGGAATGCCTTTGCCGCTTTGTCTCCTCAGGCAGCCTCGATAAGTATTCAGGAGATATATATATAAAAGTATGAGCTCGTCGGTTTATCAGGATGACCACATTCGTATGTCTCTTCAGAACACCTTCTGGTAGCACGTCTACTCCACGAGACACATACCAAAAAACAGAGCAACACCATCCTTGTCATTATCACAGCTATTCCACTTCAAAGTCTTTCACCGGGACACATCTTTGATCCCAACCATGCCTTCGTTCCTAATGAGAACTTCACACGGTCTCATCAGCATCTACGACTCAAATCTCAAGAACGACCAGCCCGCCCTCCTTCTCCTACACGGCAACGCCCCATCCTCCAAACAATTCCGCCATATCATCGAGTCCCCCACTATCAACAAGGGCTGGCGCATCGTTACTCTAGACCTCCCCGGCCACGGCTGCTCGTCCAATGCCCCTGATGTCAAGACAACAGCGTGTCCAACGTAACGTAGTACTTTTGAGTACAGTATAGTATACGTTATACTTTAAGCTGTACGTACAAAAGCTGTTAGGGGCCTGTACTATAACTGTAGTAGTAACAGTAAAGGAGCTGTAGTACAGTATATAGTACGGGTAGGCAGCTTAGCATTGTTAAAGCTATTAAAAGTAGCTCCTAGACGCTCTCTAGCACCCTGTAACACCCCTTATAGCTACCCCTAATAGCTTACGCTCTCTATAATTATCCCTAACGCTCCCTACAGCTAGATTATTTACTCTTTAGCACTGCGCTAGTCTCCTTTAGGTAGTATAATATATAGGAGCACTTAGGGGCTATACTACAGCTGCTAGCGTATTGTATATATAACTATACGTACAGCTTTAAGAATTAGGCTGTACGTACCCCTAAGTACCTCGAAAAGTACTGTATTACGTTACGTTGGACACGCTGCAAGACAACGTACTGTCACCGCGGCTACGCCGACCTCGTTATACGTGTCTTGCAGCACCTCAGAATCGAGTCTGTGGTGCTCATGGGCTGGAGTCTGGGTGGTCACATCGCAATCGAGATGCTTCCTTGTCTCGCTCATGACGATCCTCCCATGGTGGAAGATGCTCCTCGGATCAGCGTCAAAGGGCTCATGCTTATCGGTACCCCTCCCTCGGGTGGCGCCGAGCAGATGGCCCAAGCGTTCAAGATGCCGGCTGGTGGTCTTACCTTCGCGGGGAATAGAAATTGGGTCAATCTGGAGGCTGAGCTTTATTTGAGACATGGTGTGGCCGCGGGCAAGGAAGAGTTCTATGAGAGGTGGATGTTGGAGGATGCGAAGAGGACGGATGGGCGCGCGACAGTCTTCATTGCTGATGCCGCGACTGGGACGAAGGATTGCCCGCCCAAGGGTTGCGATCAGAAGCGTGTGGTGGAGGCGACTGATGTGTTGATCGCGGTCGTGAACGGAATGGAAGATCAGTTTGTCAACCTGGATTATATCGACGAGGAGGTGAAGTGGAAAAGGCTCTGGAGGGGTGAGTGCTTGGGCTTATCTGGGCTTGGGCATGCGCCATTTTGGGAAGATGCGGCAGGATTGGAGAAGGTGTTGGAGGAGTTTTTGGACGATTGTGAGGAGTGGGAGGGTTCGGATTGTGATTCTGCTGTAGGTATTTAGTCTACCATATTCATGGTTTCTCCCCATGTACGCAAATCACTGATACCTAATGCATATGTAGTATCCACTATTGGTTCTTGTTGAATGTGCTGGTTCTATAACGCAGGCACGGCGCGGCTGAGTAACATCGTAGATAGTCGCAATGCAGGCGTATTTCCCAAACACCTTTGCTCACAGTATAGAGCAGGTAGTATCCCGAGGTCCGCTACAATCCCATCATAGTCGTGAGCATGTGCATTGGAACGCCACATCGCATACCATAACGTCCACTAATAGCTGACAACCATCTCGATACGAGGACATGTGATCGCAAGTTCGCTTCTGGCGAGGTTTGGATGGGGCGTAACTAGTCAGTGTCCATGGAAGCGCTAGGTCTACCATTCCGATAGCTAGATCCCTGTACACGTCCCGCCTGATCTACGCATGAGTGCATGTCTGATCTAATTCTTACGACCTAGCAGGGCGTAGTCCCACTCCTCTTGGTACTTTCGGAAGAAATCCCGCTCACCAATAAGGTGCTTGCCCATGAACGCCTCCCAATACTCGCGCTTTTCCCCACCCTGAGTCATGGCCTCGAGCTCTCGCGCTCTCCGCATGCGAACCAACTTTTCCGCGGTATGCTTCAGCATTTTACGTGGGGCAGCATATTCGTTAACACTCTTGTCAGGCTCTTGGCGATTCAGATACGCTTCGGTAGCCGTGCGTATAGTGTTCAAGGTTTTTCCACCTGGAACAGCCTTGATCTTGCCTGCTGAGCTGGATTTTCCGCGTTCCCACTGATCCGCTCTCATCTTCTCCAAGCCGTCTGTGACTTCGAAGCGTTTATACCATGAAGTCCCGCCTCTAGCAATAGTGCGCATCATTTTGTGCCGGTCTTGGCCTCCCGAATATTTAACGAGTATGTTTTTGAACACCGCTAATCTGTCCGCGTATTTGTTCAGGCTAGACAGACCGGACGGCATCATCCCCGAGTCGGAGAAGTCATCGGAAGTTGATTTGGTGTAGCCAGCACCAATAGACAATAGGATGCTGGGATTGGTGTCATCACCCCAAAACGAGGCAGCTTCGGAAAAAGCACAATAACTAGGGTTGTTCTCCCGAATTCCACCATCTTTCATGGCCAGATTACCCTGAGGGCCAGTAACTACTAACAACTCAAACAGAAGAGGCGTAGCGGTAGTCGCTCGACCGACCTGCCACGTGTAAAGGTCGAGAGTATCTTCGTTGTATGTAGTGACCCAAGGAGGGCAGATCTCTGGGTCGTAGCGGTGAGTGTACGTGCGCAAAAGATACGCTTCGTCTATTTGACCTGTGTTCACAGCGGTCAAGCATACTCTAAGTGCTGTCAGTAGATTCACAGTCTCAAATAGATAAAGCTAACATGTTGCATTAACATGCTTGCCCTCGTACTAAAGGCGCTTTCGCTACAATCGCAGCATAGCGGTGTACTCACGTTTGGCAAAGGTGATCCGGATCCTCCGAACTGACCGAGTTCTCCGAGTCGTCTCCATAACCCTCAGTCTCATAGCCTGGCGTGCGCCAGCGAAACCTCTCCTCATCGCTGCATAAATCCGGCTCGTGTTGTTTGCAATATTGTTTGGCGACGTCATTGAGAGCATGCTTGAGTGGCAAATGATGATACTTTGTGGCAAGAGGCAGCAGGCCTCGGATGTGTCCGTACATTTCGTGGAGAAGTCTTGTGAAAACGTTGATCGTTTCACTTACGGTCATGCGAAGCCGACTTAGTGCGATAGCTAAAACTCTGGTGGGATCTGTCAGCATACATTGTTATGAGATGACAGCTATACTGGAATTCAAGCTTATGCAAATTTCTGTTCAGAGGCCTTACTGACCCTCCTGTTGATGTACCGTACATCTTGTGGAAATAGTGGCATGGACGGAAATCTGAGGCGTTGAAAGTCCTGGGATAGTGTGTAAACTGCCGCTCGAACCGGTTCTCACAAGCTATGACCTCTTCCATGAGCGCCTCGATAATGAGGATGCTTGAATACGATTTGACCCCACCACCATCTAAACCTCAGATTAGCAATTGCTCACAATAATCAATAACATCACGAACCGATAGTGAGCAGGCACTCGCCAGTTCCGCCCTCCACCGATCTTGACCATTGAACTGCTGGGTCTATGGCATAGAGGCCGCCCTCTATATGATGGCGGCTGCCGCGAACCAGATGTAATGGGGCACCATTGCCAACATCTTTATCCGACCCCTTGGCGATGTTGTAGCTTTGAGACATCCGCAACGTGTCGCCCGTAATCGAATCGGTCGACGCTTCGGGAGGCGGGTTTTCAGGTTTAGCTTCTTTGGCGACCCAGGAGGGAGTATCCTCAAAGACAAGCTCTTCCACTGACGCCACAATCAAAGCGTAGTGATCTCGCACATACTCGGCAGTAAATTGCGCTCGCAAGGCTTTCTCGATCTCTTGCCATATCTGCCGTTCAACATATGGGATAGAGGAAGCCGTGAAGAAGCTCCGAATCGAAGAAGCGTCGTCTGAAGGTTTATGACTTTCCATTAGCTGAGCAACCGCCTCCTTAATAGCCTCGAAGTCTTTTGCGGTCTTGCGGCTGTTGACGTTGCTGATGTGCATTTGCAGGCTCATGAGCCTTGACCTTATATCCATCACAATCTCATTGAACGAAGCGGTAATCGCGTTTTGCCCGTTTTCATCTTGCCCCAAAGACGTTTCTAGCTGTTTGAGCTCGTTCAAGATAGAAGCGCATTCCCGGGAAACATTTTCAAGGAGTGGGTCGCTAGCAAAGACGCTGGAGCTCAGCTCTTTCGCGTAGTCTTCGGTGAATTCGGCGGCTCCACTTAGAGCCTCTAGGCTACCAAGAAACCTGTCGGAAGCATCTGCTCCACTGTAACGGATACTCAAACGCTCAGTAGCTTGTCGTATCTCGGTGATCTGGTTGATGGTGATGTCTCGGCCTGCGGTAATGTTGCCTTGGAACACGGCGCCACCCCCGCTATCCACGTTTCGGTCCGTCGGGTCCATGGAGAGACCTTTGCTGGGCTCATTCGATCATTCGAAAGGACAGAAAGATTGAACAGTCGGCGGCGACATGCAACCCGTGAGAAGACTCCGGTAAGAGTTACGATGGTGGTATCCTCCAGGCTTCAGAAGTTCATCGCATGGTGGGGTCAGGCTGACCGTGTATCGCACACCTTGCAGCCGGCTTGGTCAGCTCAGCTGCAGCTGGGGCTGAGACGAGGCAAATGGCCGCCCGCTTTCTGCCTGCATTATGCTCTGGGAAGCCGTCGCGCAGGATCAAGAGATAAAGCACTCAAGCTTGACCACCCACAAGCTGGATGCATAAGGACCTCGGGAGCTGCGAGAATGCCTGCAACAGACATCTTCCGCCGTTTGAAGACGAGCAGAAAGAAAAATAAAGTACCAGAAAGCGACAAGCATACCGAGGAGCCAGCCGAAGAGTTGTTCTCCACGGCAGGCGCTTACGGCCTCAGAACAGTAGCGGAAGGAGCGACTGATACCGTAGAGTAGGCGCCCAGCCTCACCACCAGAACACACCTAACATCCATTCCAGTATCGTGTTTGTTCACGGCCTCACTGGAAACCGTGAAACTACATGGACATACAAGAAGGCCATCTTCTGGCCAAAAGACCTCCTCGCGAAGGACCTTGATCACGTGCGCATCTTCACATTCGGATACGACGCAGATGTGGTCAAGCTCCTCACCATCGCCGGCGGAAACACCGTACGCGACCACGGGAAGTCCCTCGCTCAAGACCTCTCCTTGCGAAGAGCAGAAACGAACACAGTACGCGAATCACAAGTTTAGAACTACCTTGTTCGCTAACTCACACTAGAGCTCACGACCAGTAATCTTCATAGCCCACAGCCTCGGCGGCCTCGTCGTCGAACAAGCCCTCCTTATCTCGCGCGGCACCTCCCAGTTACACGTAAAGTCTCTTCTCACCTCAACCTTCGGCATCGCCTTCATGGGAACCCCCCACCTCGGCTCACGAAAAGCAGAATGGGCGACCCCTCTAACCCGCCTCTCCTCTCTCGTCCTCAAAACCAACAAAGCCATCGTCGCAGTCCTAGAACCTGCGTGAGTAACACCCCTGCCCAACCCATATTCGAGACAAACACTAACTCCGTACACCTATTTCTAGTTCAGAAATGCTATCAACCCTCCAACAAGAATTCCACACTATGTTGGAAGACCGCCGACGTAACGAAAGGAAATGGATCGAGATATTCTGTTTCTACGAAGAGTTGAGTTACATGGGCATAGGAGATATCGTGCCGAGACAATCAGCCATCTTGCCCGAGTATCCTAATGCCAGTATCCATCAAAACCACTCTGATATGACAAAGTTCAGCGGAGCAATGGATCCGGGGTACGTGAGGGTAAGGGGACAGTTGTGGTTGTGGGTTGATGCGATATGCAAAAGAGAGCATAGTACTACTGTGACAAGTCCAGGCCAAACCGACTGTGATGAACGGACACTTGTCTCGCGGTCGGACAGATCAGAGCACGCATCTCAAGTAGCCGAAAGAGGGGAATTATCCGAATTGGAAGACTTAGGAGAAAGGCAACCAACGCAGAGGGAAGAGAAAACTAAGAGCAGTCAAGCTGGTGCTATTCCATCTCGAGGCGGCCCAATCTTTATGGGTAATGTTAGTGCTGGGCGCGACTTTAGATACACTCAACACTGATCCTGAGAAAAAAAGACTTATCGCATCAAGATACAGCATTAGTCGCGATCATTGACCATGGGGCAACCACCCCTCCCCACCTGTTGTTACCTAAGTTATAGCGCACACTTGATTCTAAAGACACACCATGCAACACACGCGCAGATAAAGCTTGCGCGATGGTTACACGTGAGACCTTTACCTCCTCCCCAGCCCCTCTTCTCCGGAGTAACTTTATCCTCCGCCAGTTTCGCCGTTTATCTAGCGTGCAGTGATCGAGAGAGCGCCTGTGTCCATATACCTACCACTCACAATTCCGCAACACCAGCACGCCAAGCAACACCGAAACCCCCCGCCTAATAAAGAAGACTAGGACACCAAGGTAAACAACACAACCTACCTGTCCAACGCGACATTTTGTCAAAGCCAAGTGCCTAGAGGAAAACGCATCATCTAACCCTACCTCAAAGGCACTCGCAGCGACTTGCTTCATCGTGAGTATAAAGACAACGTAGCTGACTGGCGCTTCACAGTGTGGTACATTGAGGATAGATACAGTCCACAGGTGATATCTTTCGTATGCGGCTACAGATCCATTCGACGTAGACCCGAAAAGAAAGTTCATGATGGATGGCGAAAATGGATCGATTCACGTCTAATCGACCCAATCTACTTCTTCTTCTCCGCTTCTTCGTCCTCATCATCCTCTTCCTCTTCGTCATCACTATCTTCTTCTTCATCATCGTCGTCGTCATCATCCTCCGCATCCGAAACCTCCTCTCCAAGAGCCTTAAGTCGTTCCTGCTACCATTAGTCCCTTCTGCTACCAAATTATTGGAGAAGCGAGAATGACTCACCTTGTCTTTCGTCCTCTTCTCCTCAAGATCAGCCAGCACCATGATGAGATCCTCAAGCTCAGTCGCCTTCTCCTTCTCCGCCTCTTCCGCTTTACGCAGTTTCTCTTTGAGGTCTTTGACTTCCTTTTCACTTGCACCTCCCGCCTTGCCCTTTTGGGGGTTTGACTTTGCAGCGGCTTCAGCTTTCCGTAATTTCTCCTCCGCTTCCTTGGCCTTCCAAGTTGAATCTTGAGCCTTGGTTTTAAGATCTTGGTTGTCGGCTTTGAGTTTGTCGATGGCGGATTGAAGGGCAGACTTTTCGGTTGTGGATTGCTTGAGTTGGGCTTCGAGAGTGGATATGGACTGCTCTGTCTCTTCTTTGAGTTGCTTGAGTTGAGTGTCTTTCTCTTCTTCCAGCTCTCTGAGTTGCGTCTCTTTCTCCTCTGTAAGGAGTTGAAGCTGTGCTTCGCTGTTTTGGACGTGCGTTTGCGCGTTGCGTAGGGTTTCGGTGATGGTGGCGACTTCGGTGCGGGTTTGTATGAGTGTATGTTCGAGGTTGCGGATGTTGTCGATGGCTTCCTGGCGGGCCTTCTCTGAGGCGCCTAATCGACGCTCTAATTCAGTGCGTGCTCTGTGTGCGTCATGGAGCTGCTCGTCGTACTCTTGTCTGAGCTTTGCGATGGCGAGGTTGGCGTCCTTGCTCGCTTGTTGCACCTTGTTGTTGAGCGCAACGATTTGAAGATTGTACTTGTTCTCCATCTCCAGCATGGCTTGTCGATGCTCGCGATCCTTCTTCGCAACTTCCTTATCGAGATCGTCGTGCAATTTATCATTGATGCGCTTCAGGGTGCTTCGTTGCTCCTCGGCTGATTGCTGGGTCTTGCGATGCTCGGCCTGCTCCTGGTCTATCTTTTGCTCCAAAGTCATGAGTTGTGCTTTGAGCTCTTGGATGGTTTGCTCCTTCTCGTTACTCTCGCCACGAAGTGCATCAACTACATCTCGATCAACGCCATCGTGTGACTGGTGCTGTTCGATGTTTGGGTTGCGATCGATGGCCCGAGATAGTCGGCTGAAGTTGTCTTTTAAAAAGTCTACAAAGGCTTCGTCGAAAAAGATGTCCGGCAAACCACCACCTCCGCCGGCAGTCCGGGGCAAGACCTCAAAGTCTCGTACGAGCGGATGACGTCGTAATCCGGTGATAGCGTCCAGGTATTTGTCACGACCGAGCTTCGTCATGAGAACTGGTTGTAGTTCGCGTCGTGGCACAGGTGAGTCCCTTGTTGAGAATTCGTATACGACTCCCAGCAGTGCAGCACAAAGACCGCGAATCATGACCCGGTCTTCTCCAGGGGTCAGGACGGCTTGCACCAGACTTTGCAGACTGCTGGCTTCTCCCAAGAAATCATCTACTGCAGCGGCATCCTCGAATAGCCAGCCTAGCAATAACATCAGATAAGCTACCGATATGCGCTCATCTTCCCCGAGTTGCAGGCTTGCGATGAGATTCGCAGTAAGCGTTTGTATGCAAGTGACGACCTCTTCACCGTTCTCTGCGTCTCCTTCCTTGACCCCCATAAGAGTGTCTTTCGCTTGATAGTCATCGAAGATGAGGTGATAGATTAGGTTTGAGGCAAACCAGATTCTGTATGGGTCGCCAGTTGGGGGAACTTGTGGTCCAGCCATGAGGATTGTAAGAGCATTGGCTGTTTCGTCGCCGCCCTCGTGGCCACCGATGGCTCGGTTCAGGAAGTGTTCTTGTATTTGTCTGTGATTGTAGAAATAGGCTTTGATGCACTCGCATCCTGCATTGCGCAGGTCGAACAACTCGTTCGGCGCTGGAAAAAGGACCATGTTCAGAAGCGCTTCAATAACGTATACGGAAGGTACGCCGTTGGGAGAAGTGACGCCATTCGTAGGGGGCTCAACAATGGGCCTGACCTGCTCTTGAGCGAATCCTTCTTGGAGCCGAGCGTTGCCTCTAATCAGATCCGCGCACGTGTTGAGAGCCTCGATCTTGATAGGCATGGCGGTGGCGGGGTCGAAAGCAATGTTCAGAAGTTGGCGAACGAGGCCATGCTGCTGGAAGACGTTCTGGTTCTGTAATGTGCCCGGGCTGCCTTTGACGAGGAACATGCGCATGATGGCGAGCAGCCCCCAGATGTTCTTGTCGCTCTGCGGACTGACCCAATCGTCCTCTTCTTCAGCACTCGCGCGTGCCTTCTTCGGCTTGTTGCCGCCGGGTAGCAGCGCGGCAAACCTCGCGACATGGCCCATCTCTCTTATGTTGGTCTGATTGGACACGTTGAAGCGTATGAGGATAGCCAGCAGACTCAAGCAATCTTGAACCACAACCCCGCCTTGTGTGAGGCCGCCATCGGCATGTATCATGTTGAAGACCTTGGTAAAGGCATCCTCGAAGACGAAGAGCTTCTGGAGTTCGGCAGAGGTTCGGGAAAGGTCGGTGAGGACGACGAGGGCTTCGTTACGGATGGCATCGCGGGGGTCGTCCAAGGTGGCTACCAGGCGCTCGATGCCGCCTGGGGCTGTGAGGACACATTCCTGGGTTCGTTGGGGGCGGGCGAGCGAAATGGCGCGTATCAGTTGCAGCGAATAGAGGCGGGAGTAGAAGTCGGGCTTGTCTAGGAGATCAAGCAGGAGAGTGATGTTGTCTTGCCGCTATCATAAGCTCAGCACTAGTAGATGTGTAGCAGGACAGGACCTACTTGTGAGAACTGGTCGGCCAGCAGCAGCTCCAACTCTTCCGAGGCCTCGTGACTGGTCTCGTCCGGGTGGAAGAGCATGAGCAGCGTCTCGAGCACCACCTTGAGCGTGTCGACGTCGTCGCCATCTTTAGTCAGCGAGGCGATGAGTCCTTTGAGCGCGCCCGAAGCGACCGAGGCGGGATATTGTTTCGCGAAGCTCCGGAGGCCGAGAATGGCAGCGCGACGGTCTTCGAGGAGGCTTGCGCTCGTCAGCCTCCCACTAAGAGTGCTGATGGTGTCGGTTGCCGTCTGCTTCGGAGGCGCATTGGCCTCAAGAACGCGCATCATCTTGGAGGATTGACAAGGCTATGGCTTCATGGTAGAATATACGACGGGTGTTCAATCATACGTATAAGTATCCATAGAAACGTAGTCGTCCCGTTGCATCGCAGGCCTCGTGGTGTGGAGCTCCACGTACAATTTGGCGCACGGGCGCGCGGCTCCTCCACATCCCTGCAGCGTCGGCGAGTCGGCAAAACCGCGACCTTCAGGGTCCCGGCCGCGATGCTAAGGAAAGAGCGCGTCTTCCATCGCCGCTCCCTCTCCCTCGCTCTCCCCATCACCACCTCCCATCAACCATCGTGCGCAAACTCGGTGATCGCGCGCCCACGGAGATTGCGGCACTAGAACCCATATCGCCGCCCCTGGATATCGCATCCGGCACTTCAAGAGGAGGAAAGGGCTTTCATCGCCATCAGGCAGTCTTTTTCTTTCCCACCGCGCATCGTCGCAGCACTACCACAATATCCAGACTACTAGTACACGCGCTTTCGCACTCGTCGCAATCGCACTCGCACTACTACCCTCCAGCTACAGTCTCACTATAGGCGCCCTCCACCACCCTTCACCCTCACACCGCGCGCCACCGAGCGCCTACCGCCATCATGGGTGTCCCAGCCATGTTCCGCTGGCTCAGCCAGAAATACCCCAAGATCGTCTCAACTGTGCAGGAGGAGTTGCCCAAGAAGGTCGGCGACAATGTCATTCCCGTAGACCGCACCGGCCCCAACCCCAACGGCGAAGAGTTCGACAACCTCTACCTCGACATGAACGGCATTGTGCATCCTTGCTCGCATCCCGAAGATAAGCCCGCGCCCAAGACCGAGGCCGACATGATGATGGCCATCTTTGAATACACTGATCGCTGTGTCGGCATGGTCCGTCCTCGTAAGCTTCTCTACATGGCAGTCGATGGTGTTGCGCCTCGTGCCAAGATGAACCAGCAGCGTTCGCGTCGTTTCCGCGCCGCCAAAGAGGCAAAGGAAAAGGACGACGAGCGCGCTGAGTTCCAGAAAATGCTCAACTCGCAAAAAGCTAGTCGTGGCGAGGACATCTCCAGTCTCGAAGAGGTCATCGAAAAGACCTGGGACTCCAATGCAATCACCCCCGGTACACCCTTCATGCATCTCCTTGCCGAGAGTCTTCAATACTGGTGTGCCTACAAGTTCACAACCGACCCCTCGTGGAAGGACATGAAAGTCATCATCTCCGATGCGTCTGTGCCTGGTGAGGGTGAACACAAGATCATGAACTTTATCCGCTCGCAGCGTTCTATGCCTACTCATGACCCCAACACCTCGCACGTTATCTACGGCTTGGACGCCGATTTGATCATGTTGAGTCTTGCTACCCATGAGCCTTATTTCCGTGTTCTCAGAGAAGATGTCTTCTACGACTCGGGTAAGGACAAGGTCTGCACGCGCTGTGGCCGCAAAGGACATATCCGCAACAACTGTGAATTCCCCGACGACGGCAAGAAGCTTACCGAAGAAGAAGCTGCCGAAGAGTGGGCCACCTCCGAGCACCAACTCAAGCCCTTCATCTGGCTGCATACCAACATTCTGCGCGAATACCTGGCAGTCGAAATGGAGACGCCAAAGCGCAAGTTCAAGTACGATCTAGAACGCTCTCTCGATGACTGGGTCTTTATGTGTTTCTTTGTCGGTAACGATTTCTTGCCACATTTGCCTAGTCTTGAGATCCGAGATCAGGGTATCGACTTGCTCATCAGCATTTGGCGAGATCTCGCTGCTGAAATGGATGACTACGTGACCAAAGATGGTTTCCCAGACATGCGTCGTGTGCAGCAGATTCTCTCCGCCCTAGCGACTCGAGAGGCTGGCATCTTCAAGAAGCGAAAGGAAGTCTCTGATCGCCAGGCAGCAAACAGGGCTAGGCGCGAGGCACAGCAAAACGGCAACAAGCGCCAACGGACTGAAGCAAGTGGTCCACCTGGTTTCAAGCGTGCCAAAGAGAGCACCGACACGTATACCAGCGCAGGTATTGTATTCTTCGATCCCAAGGATGCACAGTCCAAGGAAGTGCGCGATGTGCACAAGGACATTATGCACACCCGTGACGCCCAATCCAACAAGAGCGCTGCTGCTCGACTCAAGGAGCTCATGAAGGCCAAGGCCGATGGCACCGCTGCGCCTGAGCCAGAACCGACCCCAGCTTCTGAGCCCGCCTCGGAAACTGCTTCTGGAACCGAGACTCCTGTTCACCTTGGCAAGCGCAAGGCAGATGAGGTCGAAGACGCCGACAATGGCACGCCTGGTCGCACTACGCCCGTCATTCCAGACACACCCGTCCAAGCTACCGAGCCAAAGAAGAACGATGACGGCACTGTAGAAGACACCATCATGCTTTGGGAGGAAGGCTACGAGGAGCGTTACTACGAGCAGAAGTTTGGTGTTGACCCCAACGACATCGCCTTCCGTAACAAGGTTGCGCGTCAGTACGCCGAGGGTCTCTGCTGGGTGTTGGCCTACTATATGCAAGGTTGCCCATCGTGGACATGGTATTTCCCTCACCACTACGCTCCCTTTGCTGCAGACTTTGTCGGTCTCGAAGACATGGATCCCCGCAAGCTCTTCGAGAAGGGCACACCGTTCCACCCCTACGAGCAACTCATGGGTGTCTTGCCCGCCGCATCGAACCACGCCATCCCCGAACCCTTTCGTGTGCTTATGGAAGATCCTCAGAGTTCAATTGTCGACTTCTACCCTCCAGACTTCCCTATCGACCTGAACGGAAAGAAGTTCGCCTGGCAGGGTGTTGCCATCTTGCCCTTCATCGACTCGAAGCGACTACTTGATGCCATGGCAACCAAGTACCCTGAGCTCTCTGATGACGAGAGGAAGCGCAACGAGTTCGGAAAAGAGACACTCATGTTTTCCCAAGAGAGCGGTCTATTCGACGATGTTGAGAAGGCTCTGTACCGCAAGGGAGAGCAGAAGTACAAGATTGATCCCGCCAAGAGCCGCGCTCTCCATGGAGAGATTGAGCCGCACGATCTTTTCGTCATGGACAGTCAGCTCGTGCCGCCTTTCGATGCAGATGGTATCACGGAATTTGAGATTACCCAAGATCGGTCAATGAGGTATGTTCGACATGCATTCTGATTACATTGAAACAAACACTAACAACTATACAGAGTATACTACGAAATGCCCAGCGTGAGCAACACCCGAGCCCACAAGTCCGCCCTCCTCGAAGGCGTCATCATGCCCAAGCCAGCCCTCAGCCCCGGTGAAGCAGAATCAGTCCGTCGCTCCAACGAACGCGGTGGCTTCCGCGGCGGCCGTGGCCGAGGAGGTGGAGGATACCGTGGAAACTACAACAACGACCGAGGCGGCGGCTACAACAACGATCGTCGCGGTAACGATAACTACAACGGCGGTGGACGAGGCGGCTACCAAAACGGTCGTGGAGGTGGTGGTGGCTGGGACAACAACCGCGGCGGATACGGAGGCAACCAAGGTGGCTACGGCGGTCCTCCACCTCCACAGAACTTTGCTCCTCCCTTCCCCGGCGGTAATTTCGCGCCTCCTTTCCCAGGCAACTTCCCTCCCCCACCACCTGGATGGGTGCCTCCCCCCGGTGTAGGAGGCTGGCAAGGCGGTGCGCCCCCGTACGGCGCTCCTCCCATTCCACCACCAGTCACACAGCGTCCAGCTTGGATGAACGGCGGAGTTCAGCAACATGGCGCTCCGCCGCCACACCACGCACCCAACAACAGCTCGTTGAGGGATGAGCGGTTCTACCGCCCCGCAGAAGAGATTCTGGGTCGCAGTGGAGGTGGAGGCGGTGGCGGCGGTGGTGGTGGATACCAAGGAAACAACCCTTATAACGATCGCCCGCCGAGGGATGATAGGGGTGGCCGTGGAGGAAGAGGTGGACGTGGTGGACATCGTGGTGGTGGTGGTGGATACCAGGGTAATAGGCAGAGCTATAACTCTAACGACTACCGCTAGAGGATGGCTTGTGCTGGATGTGGTATGGAAAGGAAAGGAGGGGATGATTAGGATATGAGCTTTGTACATTAGTATATGGGTTTTGATTGACGCCCATCGAAAATTTCTTTCGCGTTTTTTGACAGATGAGGGAACGAAATGCGGTGGTGTTTTTTTCTCATGTGTATGTCTTGGTGTGATCTTCTTTCGCTGCCCAGAATTTACATGTCGCACGTGGCATTTTCTTTCGTCGATACTCCATCGAAATACGGAGGATCGATTTGACATTCTCAAGGCTCAGCAGGTGATCGATACCTCCGATGTATAAATATCTGTCGCACTTCCTGTCTTTCTCACTCAACTCACCTTCCCTCTTTTTTTGTACTAAAGTCACGATCCTTGAACCGCATGGTCCGTTCTCTGCTCTCGGTGTCTCAAAACAACAGGACAGTATTTCTATGTTCTCCCGTCTTACGACGTTGCTGTCATCATACACATACATCTCTCATCTAATCCCATAAATTCTTCATCATTATCGTTTCGTACATTACACCATGTTACCGTGCTCTCTCAGTCTTCTTCCCATGACGACGTAAGAGTAAGATTTTGGAAACGCACATGTGTTCGCGTTGTAGATATTTTGGAATCATAGTTATGCACACCTCTTCTTTTAGTAGCTGTTCGGAATTCCGGAGGAGGACAGAAACATAAACAGTTGCCTTACGAATTTTAATAGTTAAAGTGCAGGAAAACGGCTCGCACATGTAAACAATGTTACTAGGTTTTTTTGTGACTTTGGTGCTCCGCACATGTAACGATGTTGATAAGTTTTTTGTTTCTGCTTCCCAGACATGGGATTCTAGCATGCCTCTTTTGGGAAAGGGTGGTGGTGTCGAACATGTCAAATCTGTCTGCACGTTTTTCGTCGGAGGTTGAACCCAGGGAGGAGAACCGGAAGACTCACAAGCATAGGTTGAAGGAAAGAGCAGTTTTGGTCTTCTGCACACATGGGGATGAGAGTAGTGGTTCTTTTGATTTGCAGACACATGGAAGTCGTCGAGAGGTTTTAGGAAAAAGACGGTGGTTTGGAACATATAGTTTTGTGATATCGCTTTTTGAGGTTGAAGTGGAGGGAGAAGACGAGGAAGACTCGCACACATGAATTATGGGAGCACGCGGTTTTGGCGCTCTGGACATGGTACACCTCGATGCGTTCTTTTGAAGAAACGAAAGAGATAGTGTGATGTAGAAAGACGAAGAGAGGGGCACTCAGTCTATATACACATCCAGATCAGTGCTGAGACTGCATGTGATGGCTGTAAAAGGAGAGATGATGACGCCGTGTGTCAGTACCGTCTGCGAAACTGGGCGAGAGCGTGAAATCACGTGTTAGCGCGGACAGATGTGTATATAAGAAAAAAACTGAACAGGTCTGCAGACTACATCAAGACGAAAGCTTACAAAGTAGGTAACCTAACGTTAACTTAGACTATAGAGTGTTCATTTTCTTCCTAGGTTGGCGTGGTAATTCTCACATTGCTGTTCGCGCGTTGCAATTGGTTTGTAGACATTGGTATCCATGGTGGACGGCTCTGAGGATTGACATGGAGCGGCTCAGAGTCTTGAGGTATGGGCCACAGATGCGAATGCGATTATCGCGACGCATTGCACTGGAAATCTGTCGAGAAAGCACAATGGGTCGTGCAATGAGCTGTCCATGACGCTAGGTATCGTGTCGCTGGGGCGAGTCCACTGGAGAGCTGCTGGCGATGCAGTCGCGCGACCATGACGCGTCGCGTTCGCACGACAGAGCGCTCGCCGTGTGCACCTTGGAGCCGCCCAGCCGATGGCCTGAAGACGGTAGTACTGCCGATGATAAGAGCAGTTCTGGATGGATTGCGCAACAAGAGTGTGCGGACCTGGTAGAGGAGTTGTAAGCTGGTGTCCGTTGCTTGGCGTAGTCCGAATCAGGCAAGTTTTCGAAATCTGTCGATTGCGGCGTCTACAGAGTTACCACAACTTTTTGAGCCTTGAGCCTGCCAAGACGCGGCATCCGCACGCGCTCTCCCGCGGAGAAACCCCCCTCGTGAGCCAAATATACAGGCACCGTCATAAGAGATTACTAACCCATCACCAGACGTGCAGAAGCTGTTGTCGGCTGCGGAAGGCATGACATGAGCCTGCAATGAGGTGCAGAGGCGTTGCCTTCGGAAGAAGTCGGCATTTCGGAAAGGGACCGCGAGGAATCATCGGACGGTCATGGTCTGACTTTTAGTCACTGAACACTATGACTGCATCATCAGACTTGAGGTTACGGAAGACTTTGAGGTTCCTGTACGGATAGCTATGGGCCTTGAAATCAGATTACAAGGCCTGGTGAGGACGTCGACGCCCAACATAGAATGTTGCGGCGAAACAACCTCGGAATTCTTAACTCTAGGTACCTAGGTAGTTGTTTACTGCAACATTCACGTTATAATAATTGTTCTACTGCAAGGAACGATGAACCAAGAAACGAAGAACGTTGTCGCATGTCGGAGTCTAGTCCTATCGTAGCTTTCGCGCGTTGACGCACTTCGTACCTGAACATCCTCATCCCTGTAGCCATGCGGCGGAAAAGCCGCGGGCGCCCGGACACGACGAGATCCATCACTCACACGTGTGCTATACGTAATATCCGATCGCATTTGCAGCAAGAATGCTCCTAGATTACTATGTGCTGGCGTAAATCCTGTCACGCTTTGGTATTGTGGAGCCATCGGACTATTCTCATCGTTCGATATATCCTGGTTGCGGACTTTGAGGAAATGCATCACCGCGGAGATGCACAACTCAGCGGGTGTTGCAGGGAATGGGAGATGGCGTGTTCGTATGTGGGAGGGGATGGGAGAGATATTTAGTCGCATGGGATTTGAAGCTGGTCTCTGGATGTGACAGAGTTGGGTTGTTTCAATTTTTTGTAGCAGATTGCATCAACTGCACTCGCGGGAAAATTCACAACAGCACAACAACGACCAATAATCAAGTTTGCATCCGATATTCCATTCTCATCAGACGATCTCCATCGAACACACACAAAAAATGGGCGCATTAACCCCATCACAAGTGCAAACCATCAAATCCACGGTCCCCGTCCTCGCTGAGCACGGCAACACCATAACAACAAAGTTCTACCATGACCTACTCTCCGCACACCCCGAGCTGAAAAACGTCTTCAACAACACGCACCAAGCGACCGGCCACCAAGCACAAGCCCTCGCAGGAGCCCTCTACGCATACGCCGCCAACATCGACGACCTGGGGAAGCTGAGTCCAGCAGTGGAGCTCATATGTCACAAACATGCGAGCTTATTCGTTCGAGCAGACCAGTACGATGTCGTCGGCAAGTATCTACTTGAGACGATGCAGACGGTGCTGGGTGATGCTGCGACGCCCGAGATTCTGGAGGCGTGGGGTGCGGCGTACTGGCAGTTGGCGAATATCATGATTGGCAAGGAGGATCAGCTGTATCAAGAGACGTCGTATTGGCCTGATTGGAAGGACTTCACCATCACGAAGAAAGAGAAGGAGAGTGAGGAGATTACTTCGTTTTACCTCGAGCCAGTGGATGCAGATTTGAAGCTACCGATCTTCAAACCTGGACAGTACATCTCGGTCAACGTCTTCGTGGACGAGCTGGAAGGTGGCGTGTGGCAGGCGAGACAGTACAGTTTGAGCGATGCACCGGGAAAGAAGTATCTGAGGATCAGTGTGAAGAAAGAGCCTGGCATTGAGATTGGGGAACCAAAGCACATGACACATGCGGGCTACATCTCCAACCTGCTACACGACACGAAGAACGAGGGAGACGTAGTGAAGGTGTCGCATCCATTCGGAGAATTCTTCTTCGACACGAAAGAGGTCGATGCAGACGCACCCGTCGTTCTAATCTCAGCCGGCGTCGGACTCACTGCTTTGACCTCCATCTTCAACTCCCTGACAGCGGAGAAATCGGATCGACCGATAACCTGGATCCAAGGCGCACGCAATTCAAAGACACGTGCCTTCAAGACGCACTTTGACCAATGCGCTGCAGCAAACGAGAACGTGCATGCAGTGTATTACTCGTCGACTCCGGGCGAAGGGGAAGTCCAGGGCCGTGACTACACCATCAAAGGACGTGTGGATCTGGACAAAATTGACAGGAAGTACCTGCATACCGACAACGGCAAGACACAGTACTACTGTTGTGGACCCACACAATTCATGCTCGACGTTGAGGCAAAGCTGAAGAGCTATGGCGTGCCTAGCGAACGGGTGAAGATGGAGTTATTCGGTACCGGCGGCGTACCGAGGGTCTAGGGCTGTTGGTGGAATAGCGATCGGCTCAGTGATGCGTTCATCGTATTTCTAGTTGTTTAGTATACCAGATTTCGTGTTAGTAGATCCAACACCGTTCTGCTCCATCCGCGCGCCAGTCGCGCAGCGGATTTTGTCAGTGCAGCGGCGTACAAGCCACTAATTCGGCATGTGGGATGCGTACCACAACGCGCATGCCGTAGGATGCCATTTGCAACGCTCCTACGGACACGTGCAGCGGAACGAGGAGCTTTGATGGTAGATCTTCTTAGATGGCAGCGGGAAGGTAAGGTACTAGGACATTGACCAATTCCGACGTCCTGGTCGTTCACCAGGTCAGGCCAGAGGTCGCACACTTGCGCCAGATGCAGGGCAATGTTCCCATGCCTGGGACCATGTAGGAACGGTCTTTGAAGAAGCTCGTTTTGGATATATTGTACCCCAGATAGTGACGCCACCCGAAACGCACGCGGCAATCTCTTTGTTTACTTCAATAGAACGTGTAATATCGGATACTACCAGGATCCCATATCTGAATGCAGAACAACTCAGCAGAAACAACTGTCTTCGTAATTTGCCAATTGAACTGAATGTTGATCGTGATCATAAGGGGCGCATATAGTTCACAACTGCCAGTACAGCAGGGCCGGTAGGATCATACGACAAGGTAGGGCCGAATTTTGAACGTTGTCCGTTATCACCTTCATGCAGGTCGGAGTTGTACGCGCTGCCGCCGACGTCTAATTCGCCCATAGGGGCTAAACAAGGCGTTGCGAGGCCAAAATCTGGGTGGCTGGTAGCCTGGCGGGTAGAAAGCAGGCGCCAACTGAGATGACGGCATGCTGGTTCTGAGCAGAGTCATCTCTCGGGCTCGTGTTCGGAGTCACAACCGGCGAAAGGGGTAATCTTCTGGAAAAGACAGGGTGTGGGCGAGTGAAGCGCACCGTGAGCCTGACCAATGCGAGCGTCTTCTAGAAATTGCGCAGAAGGACGCTCGGACAGTGTGTGAGCCTTACGCGCAGGGTTGCGACAAGTCATGCCGGAACGTTGGTCAAAGGAGCTGGGGCCGCAACCGCCGGCTGGGCCAGTGGCATATTCTGCGGCGATGACACAAAGCGCAAGAAATTGTGAGGCGCCCGTGCATTCGGAGACAAGAATAGCTCCCAGGAATCCATGTCGGGTGAGGATGTGAAACAGCTGTGGGCAGCGCTGCCGTAGATGGCACAGTACGCGTTGTGTGCGCGTGATGATGACTCAATAAGAAATAAGATTTAGCTTGTCGGTGTCGATCGTCTATGAACGAGTCTGGGGAGTGCGGTGTAGAGGAATTATGCTTTTGTGATGTGCTGGCCCCGTGCACAACTGTTTTGGAGATGCGCTCGTGTCAGGCACAGAAACGCGACGAGGCTGGGAGTGGGTCCGGCAAATATGGGCATTGGCTTTAGGTGGGACGCGCAGCACAGACGGATCTGGCGGAAGCATACCGACGACCAGGCTGCAAAGAGTTGAAGATATGCGGGACCCCTTCACCGCAACAAGGCCAGGAGGCAGCAAATGTCGGTGGGCAGAGCTTGGCTTGGAAAAGGGAGTGAGGGAGGAACCACGTGCCTGACTTGCCTTAATGAGGATGTGCTAGAGACGCGGAAGCGGCAGGCACGCTGTACCTGCCGGGAAGGAGGTTTTGTGATATTGAATTCCCTTTGAAGATGCCGTGCATTGCAAAGGATGCAGAGGCGCCCTGTTGGCAGTTGGACATGGACATCGACGACGTTGGATACGGCCTCGTGGTGGCGGTGTAGACCACGCAGACCTGGCGTTCGCGCCCTGAATGATTGACTCGGCGGCGGTCAGGGGCGTCTCCGGGTGTCTCACAAGTCTCCAACCTCCACAAAATGGACAAGCGTGGCCCAATAGGCGGCGGGACTGCAAAGGCAATACGTTGGTTATTCAGTCGTTATGCTTCTTTTTCGCTGTCTCAAACCCGGCTGGTGCTTTGGCCCCCTGGTGGCTTCTTGTCGCCTGCTGCACGTTCTAAGCAAGTGCTATGCACCGTGCCTTCCCTCCCTTCTAGCGGCCTTCTATGTGCCTTCCAAATCTGGCCCATGCTCCCACATCCCAGCAGCCTCCAGGAACCGCTGAATCGCTGCACCTGGTGTTGCGACCCAATCTGCGCGGTAGTGGAAAGGGGAGGGTGAGGTATCGTGGCGACCGCATGTAACGCCGGAGCCGCAACTCTATGTTGCTTGTCAAGTCACGATGCATCATCAACTCCAGTCGCGTGGTAAGGTCCAACATGGGCGTTGGAGACTACCGTCGGCTTGTGGATCCTCATCTGTGCACAAAAGCGCCACATACGCCTCAAACAAGGTCGCAGGACTGCCCCAGCTCCTTGACAGCTAGCAGCGGCATGCTAACAGGAAAGGTCATGGTGAAGCTGTAGTGTCGCGAGCGCGAGATGAACGCAAGGATAGGGCCGCTCCACAGCTGGGTGCGCTGCGATGCATTGATCGAGTGTATTTGAACGTGCCCTGCTCCATGCTGTCAGAAGAATGCTTGCCCGTTCCCTCTACACGCACCACATCTCCAGACTGCTAGGACCAATCACCTAGAGCCTCAGACACAGTCAGCGAGCAGAACTGATTTTGCTGCAGCCACGATTCACCTTTTCTTTTGCCGGCCCTAGGGAGGAACACGATCGACCAGCGCCCCCATCAGTCCACGACAAAGTTACCGACCATACCGACCCTCTTGTTGGGCGGAAGCAATCTAATCAGCACTCCGGCCCAAAGTGTCTTGTACGTCACGTCACCACACTGTCTAGGTGGACAGGCAGGACGCCAGAGGACCAGAACCGCCGCGCCGCCCCCGCCACTCTTCAGTTTGCTTGCGGTGAGACGCGCAGTTTCGTGTGTCTGCATAGCCGTTCGTCTACATAAACCGCAGTGTCAGTGTGGTGGGCTTCAGACGCTTTGACAGCGACGCTGCCTGCACATCGTGGTCCCTTTTTGTCGACTAGCGCCTAGGACGATCCGCCCAAGGCCGAATCTGCTCTAGCGCCCCTACGACTTTCTGGGCAACTACGCGCAACGAGGAAAGAAGTACCTGCAGACTCTCCAACACCACGCCCTCCATCACCGCCATCCCCTGCCCTGCCCTCTCGCGCGTCTATATCTATCTCAGGTACGTACTCCCGCTTTGCACGATTCCCTTTCGCCCCGTGCAGCCCGCGCATTCCCGCTGCAGGTCCTTCTCACCGCTCCACTCCCCTTTTCTCCTGCTCCGACGTGGCCAGCGTGACTGCCAGACCGACAATTTCTGGCGCGCCCTTCTTTCACCCTTTACCTCGACGCTGCTGCCACGACGCTCGCTCAACCTCGCAACTGACATCGCTATCTCCAGTAGTGCATCCGCTGCATTGACCTACGCGCGGCCCCTCGACGACTCGACCTGACGCCCTCACCAAAGCCCATCCTCGCTGCGTCCTTGCCCGACGCCTGATTTGCATCATCCTTACAGGCTCTCACCCTCACTTGGTGCGCACCGTCCCGTCTCTTGCTCATCGGGCCTGCAGTGCCTTGCCGCTTTCCGTCACGCGCATCCCGCCGACCGGAGAATGGAGTTGGACACGATTCTGAACCAGAGATTAACAGCATCCCTAGGAAACGGAGCGCTCACCATGCAACACGCAATGCAGCCCCAGCACTTCGGTGCGCCCCCCAGCTACCTCAATGGCGGCCACATCAAGTCGGAGAACGGCTCGGAGCGTGGCGTGTCGCCGCACCCGTCAGACTCGTCGCGCTACTCGTCGCAACAACCGCAGCAGCAACTCCCCTCGTATCCCGCGATCCCCCAACAGCACATGAACGGCCTGCGCTACCCCTCGCCCTCGCAAATGCAGGCGCCCATGCCCATGCTCAACAACAGTAATTACATTCCCAACCCGCCAGACCACGCGTACGCGCAGCAGCAGCAGCAGCAGATGGCGGACGCGCAGGTCCAACACCAACACAACGGCGGGCGCCCCGCGTCGGACACGGGTCCACCTAAGGCCTTCGCGTGCTCGACCTGTGGTAAAGGCTTCGCGCGACGCAGTGACCTCGCACGTCATGGTAAGAAGCTTTGGCCCCAACATCAAAAGCAGAGCACTGACAACATGCAGAACGTATCCACAGCGGTATCCGCCCTCACGTGTGCGACTACCCCAACTGCGGCAAGCAGTTCATTCAGCGCTCCGCCCTCACGGTTCACCAACGTGTCCACACTGGCGAGAAGCCTCACATGTGCGAGCGATGCGGAAAGGTATGAAAATTCTGTTCCGCACTGCATTCACAACTAACATCGAACAGCCTTTCAGTGACTCCAGTTCGCTGGCCCGCCATCGTCGCATCCACTCCGGCAAGCGCCCATACAAGTGCCCTTACGCCGACTGCCAGAAGACTTTTACGCGTCGCACTACCTTGACGCGTCACCAGAACCACCACACCGGCACTGTCGAAGAGGCCGCTGCCGCCACTGCTGCTGCGCTCGCATCGCGTGCCTCTGCCTCGAGCAGGACCGGTCGCTCCGACGGTGGTGACTACTCCGAGACAGCATCGCCGCTCGGCACTCCTTCGCCCAATGACCGCAATCTCTCTCTTTCACCCGCACAGGGAATGCCTCCTGGTGGCATGCCTGGCCTGCACCGCCAGGGCTCCGACTACGCCTACATGGGCGGTATGAACGTCCCTCCTCACATGCGTCACGAGATGCCCCAGCCCAGCCCTCGTGCCTCCCCTGCGCTCACAGCTCAGTCATACACATCCAACGTGAGCGGCTCTCGCCCAGCGATCACCTCTCACCCGACCGCCTACGGCCCACCGCCGATTCTTGAGCCTCCTGCGTCTGCAAACCACAACCAGTCCGGAGGCACCACCAGCGCCAACGGCAGCCCTCACATGTCCGCCATGGGCTGGCAATCACCTGGTCAACAGGCTCTCCCCTCCCCAGGAGCTCAAGACAACGGC